GTTTATCATACCAGCTAACAATTCGACAAGAAAAATGCATGTTATGGGTTATTAATAGTATAATTTAAAAATTATCAAATAAAAAGTAAAAAATAAATATAATAAAACTTATACTTACACTCTAATAATTCAATAAAAATTGTAAAGTTATTCATAACACCATTTAAAATTATAATAATTATAAAATTTAGAAATAAATTTATTAAAACTTATACTTACCCACTAATAATTTAATAAAAGAAAATATGCATTATCAATTTACATTAAACTCAAATAAAACTTTTGGATGCAAATATATACTTACCGGCTAATAATTTAATAAAAGAAAATATGTATTATTAATTTATAGATAACATAATTTAAAACCAAATAAAATCTTAAATTTAATAAATTTTATATTTACAATCTAATAATTTAACAGAATAATTCGTTGAAATATTTGTCAGATACATATTTTAAAATCGTCAATAATACACGTAATTTTTAAAATAAATATAAAGTAACTTAAAACTTACTGACTAATAAGTCGACATAAGGTGTTTGTTAAAATGCATCTTTTAAAATCATCAATAATAATTTTATAAACCAATATAATAAAGTTTATACTTACACGCTAATAATTTAACAAAAGGAAAGAAAATAAAATAAATAGCATAATTTAAATCAAATGAAAATTTTAAAAACAAGTATAGATAGATACGTATTTTAAAATCAATAATAAATTTAAAATAAATATAATCGAGCTAATATTTTAATAAAAGAAAATGTATATCATAAAGTTATAAATAAAATCGCTTAAAATCATTTAAAAACAAATATGGGGTTGAGTCAGTAAAAATCAAGCAAATTTTTTCCAAGTAAATTTTTTTAAAACTTTGAAGAATAATAACAACAACAAATCAATCAATTTTAATAATTTTTTTTTTAAATAAATTCTACAAACTTATAGAATTCATTTAAAAAAATTTTTATTAAATTTGATCAAGTTTTTGTTGAGGTATTAGTATTTTAAGTTTTTAAAAAAACCCAATAAAAGCAATTTGCTTGATTTCTACTGACTCACCCCATGTGCTAAAGTTTGTAGTTACTCACTAATAATTTAATAAACATTTATTCGGCATGAACATTTACTCGCTAATAATTTAATGAATATTAAAAAGTTATAAATAGTATTGTTTAAAATAAAATGAAAATTTTAGAAACAAATATCATAAAATATATTCTTACCCGCTAATAATTTAGCCGATGCATTTAATAAATATTTGTCAGAATAAAAATCAAATTATAATTTTAAAAAATATAATAAAGCCTGTACTTACATGCCAGTAATTCAATGATAAATTAGATCCAACTATAGTAAACTTATACTTACCATTTTCTAATAAGTTAAAATAAAGAGTAATAACAATTTGAGTATTATCAAATGACATCCTAGTACATAGCAAAAAAAATAATGAAGTACATACGCTCTAATAATTCAATAGAAAATGGGTTATATAAATAAAGTGTAATTTAAAATCATCAGATGATATAATTTTAAAAATAATATAATTAATAAATATTACTTTATATATTTAAAATTAAAAATAAATAATAAATCAAATTAACTACCTTTCTTCTAAGATAGAATGCGAGGCAATTGTCAAGGAAACATTTAAAATAGCAATAATAAGAACTAAAATAATGTAATTTAATTTCATTTTGACAGTATTAGACAGAACAAATATCAGATGAAATGATAATTGATTTAACACCTTTATATCGAGCTCAACTTGTATTTATAATTAAAAAAGCTAGACATACACATCCGTTTTTGGCTTGACATTTTGCTTTATTATAAACAATAAGTAAAAAAAAAAAAAAGGGATGATAGAAGTGCCGTTGAAGGAAAACCTGTCATAAGGCTCACAATTATATTTCGTTCCGAACTTACGAACTTATCCATAAAAAAATCGATCAGTACGTATTATTATACGTCGCTGATCCGATCATTAATAAGTTCTGAATAGAGATGAGCAAAATTATTACGTATTATTATTTAATATTACTTAAGATTATTTAAAATTTTTTGCAATAGTGATAGATAATAATAAGTAATTTCGCGATCATTCTATTTTTAGCAGCAATTTATCGTTCTATCTCAGTTTCGATTACTCACTTCAGATTGTTATCAGGTGTTTGATATGTGACGTAATAAGTAATAGAATGTGATAACAAGATAGCTGCGCGACGTCGTCACGCAAAACCAGGAATGAACTGGCATCGTTCTTGAGGAATATTGGTACATATATACAACACAAGAGTAGTGATATTTAGCTTTGAATTAATTGAATAACTAATTAGAGTGATATTTATGTGACTTGGTTTAGCTACATGTATAATTCGATATTGGTTTAGCTGATTAAGTTCAAGGTATGAAATTACTGAATTATTTTTTTGGGGTAATCGTGTAATCAATTTGGTATAACTGTGGTATTGGATTAGAAGTAAGCATGGTATTTGTTGTTAATAAAAACTCATACAGGAGGATCCCCAAATTTCCGGGTTGGAACCATCGGATTTAGCCCGGCATTTAGTAATACAAGTTAACCATTTCTGGGCAAAAATTATCAGCTGGGCAGCTTTACTTAATGAGTGAGCTATGGTTTCATTAGTCAAACTTTTAGTGATCTTGGGCAAAATTAGTTAATTCCGGCCCTGTCGATCATGATTCCGAAGTATTCTGACCCGGAATTTTGGAGATCCCCCTGTATGAGTTGTTAATAAAGATGATTTATCGTTATGCAAGGAGTATAAGTAAGGAATGTGGGTGTAGTTTTCGATAATTTCCAATTACAGTAGGTGTATCATAGGACCGTAAGCTACGAAAGGAAGTGTGATTTTATCACAGACAATCGTATGGAAATGTAATGTTATGCACAGAGCGTGAAAGAGGAAAGTAGGCTAAATGATAAGTGTACTTATGATACTTATTTAATATGTAAACATTATAGCTAACATGAGACGGCAGGTAGGCTTAGCGACAAATACGTAACTCAAAGACATTATTTATTATTAAGGTGTGAAAAAAATATAACATGTTACAATTAAGATCATGCCGACCAATCGGGTAAAGGATTTTGGGTACGCACAACATTTCTCCCGTAAGTAAACCATACACTCCGTTCCTGGTATTACTTAATTGTCAGGAGCGAAGCGAAGGACTTATACTTCTATACGCTTTGATAACTGAAATTTAACTGAAATCACGTTTTTGATGAATTGTTAGCGAAAAAATCAAAGACGTAGTTTTGGCATTTTCCAGATGTAACGCTCCTGAAATTTTGATCATCTAATTAAAACGTGATCATACATACTATAGAATTTTTCAGGGGTTAAGTTATATAAATTTAAGCACCAGTTCCTGCTTTCTCGACATTTGATAAGGATGATATCATAAATTTTTGCACCCGTTTTGATGATATTCGACAATTTTTCTTTTTACGTCAAATTTTTAAAATGATTTGAAAATCACTGCTGTATTGAATTTATTAAGCTTAAATAATTAAGGAATCGGTCATTATCGTTATTAACGCCTGAATTTAATTAATTATTATGATAAATTTTGATCTTTATTAAACTTTAATTAATTTAGAGTTTGCAGTGGGCCGAGTATATCTAAACCCAAGCCCAGACCAATTAATCAGGGTTTGAAATATAACGATAAGCCCAAACCCGGCCTAAGTTCATAAGCAAAAATTTGTCTGATTGGTTAGCTTAGTAGTAGATCTACATGTGATTATTATCCAATCAACTCACACACAATTTTCAATTCGTTATTTTATAATATTACGGTACTAAAAACGAAAACTTCAAGAAAAAAATTATATAAATCGATAAATACGTATGATTTATTGGTTTATATACATATAAAAGATAGATAGACGCATATAGAGTAGAGTCAAAGTAATAAAATAAAGCTCATTACTATCTATAAACCCAGGTTGATATCTATAATTAGTAAACTTATACGTTTTAACAAACCAAGTCAACTTAAGAATATCTTAAATATAAAGCATAGATCTCTTGTGCAAACAAGTTTGTTTTGCTTTAAATACTTAACTTGAAGTCTAAAGCTTTATTGTTTTTGTGTAATTTAAACTTTAGTTATAAAATTTTTTTTTACCTTATGAAGAAAGTCATGTTTAAGTCAAATCCTCTTAAATTAAAGATTATTAGAGACTATTTTTAAAGTTAGTTTTCTAGTATCTTTGAAACTAAAGATAATGTTTTTAAGAATGGTTATTTATATAATGTTGCATTCTCAAAAAGTATTTTAAAACATATAAATAAGTTACCTAAACAATTAATTTGCATTAGTCTATAACATTCAAGCTTACTCAAACTCAACCAAGCTTATTCAAGTCTGTTTGATCTATAATTACTTATAATTGCAAGCTTAGTTCTGAACTAAAATATATATGTATAGATGAAAATTTTTGATAAAAATATTGTAATTACTAAAAATATATAAGTTATGTAATGTTGTACCTGTTTATGTTAGTAAAAATTTCATGTTTATTTTTTGTCTTTTCTCTTCTTTTTTTTATTTTTTATTATTTTTCTATAAGAAGATATCATTAAATTGATGATATTCTATGATTAGATGAGCTTTTAAGAGACAGTTCTGTAATGAAGTTTACTAATTATCGTTATATGATGCAGCTGATCACTTATAGATGTTTATAGAAATAATCATGAGATATTAGTACAGTATATTAGAACTAAATAATATATATATATATATTCAACCTAATAAAGCATGATAACAAGAAAACTACCAAAGTGATATAAAAAATTATTTTTATTACTCATATAATGCTGATAATAGTACATATGAAATATAAAATAATAATAATAATATATATGAAATATAAATAATAATAATATCGATAAGTAATGCTAATTATTCAATATGAAATATTTAAATATTGCACTTTCTTCAACGTTTTGCTTCAAAGTTATATACTATTTGATTTAAACAAAACCTTTTCAACATTATCATGTCTTTTTACAAATTTAACATGAAATATTTCAGGCCAAATAGTCATACCAAAACGTATTTTTTCCATGTCAATCGGTATTGGTTTACCATCTTTACCTAACGGTGATACATTTTCAATTCTAAAGCACCAGAGGAGACGCGAAACACCCAATAGAAGAGCTAGTTCAGCCTGCATTTAAATTTTAAATATAAAATTAGCAAAACATGAAAATTAAAACCAAGAATTAAAATTTATCACCTATACCATATGAATTCCAGCACATAACCTTCTTCCAGCTCCAAATCCAAAATGATCTCTATTTTCATAATTCCCATTTGCCAAAGCAGCACTACTATTTGTAAAACTTAAAAACCTTTCAGGTTTAAGCTCTTTAGGATTTTCATATCTTTTTTCATCCATATGAATTCCATATTGGTTTAAAATTATAACAGAATTTGCAGGAATATGATATCCATTATATTCATCATCTTCTTCAATATAATGAGGTATACCCAAATAAATTGGACCACAATATCTTTGACTTTCTTTAACAATTGCGCGTATATAAGGAATGTTTTGTTCATCAAATATGGTTGGTAAACGAGATTGACCAATTACTTGATCAAGTTCTTGATGAGCTTTGAATTGGACTTGAGGATTGTTGGCTAAGGCAGCAACGATCCATGTCAAACTCGCTGAAATCGTATCCTGAAAATTCAAATTTTATTTTCTATTAAGTTGAAGCATTATTATAAAAATAATTATAAAAATAATTATAGATATATAAAACTTACAGTTCCAGCAGAAAATAGATTGCTGATAATATGAATAATATCCAGTTCATCTAATATACCATCTTCTACCTTATAAAGCAAATCTCTAATAATACAAGATTTTTTCTCTTTATCATTCATAACTTCTTTGATTAATTTACCATATAAATTTTCTGATCTTTTTCTATCCCTGATTACCCTTTCATGTAATTCATGACTTGTAAACAATCTTAAAAATGGAAAAAAATCACCTAATCTATTAGTTATTCTAATAAGTTGTAAATGATTCTCCATATAATTTTCAAAATCTTTATAAAACGGATCTTCAATACTTTTAGTACGTTTTCCTGAACATAAAAGAGTAATTATATTTAAACTTGTAAGTTGAAAATAAAATTTTGGAAATAACCCATTTTTTGCATTCATTGAGGCTTGATAAAGGTTTTGCATAAGTATTTGAAATTCTGTGTCAAATAAATCAGATTTTCTTTTTATATTTCGTTGATCCAAAATTCCATGTACTAAATTTTTAAGTATTTTTTAAAATTTATAAATAAAAAATAAAATAGCAATGAAAATATGTTTAACATTATTAATTACTAACTAATAGGAGTAAGTATTCTATATCGTTCATGATACGGGGAACCGATGAAACCTTTATTTCTTTCCAAAATTTGATAAAAGTAATATGTCGGCCAACGAGATGAATATTTTTTGCCTCCTGTTGAAGAAAAAAAAAAAACTTTTTTTTCATGCCAAATTTCATCAATTACGCTAAAAATATTGCATAACAAATAACTTACGTTTTTGTAAAAGTTCACCAACAACTTTATCACTGGTTAATATAATCCAATTTTGTTGACCCATTTGTACACGATAAATATCTCCTAAACTTTTTGCCCATTCTTCAAACCTAATTATATGAATCATGCATAGACATCGTTATTTGTTTATTTGGTTTTATTAATATTACCAATATCATGAACTTTATCTATCTTACTTCTTATATGGCTTCGATCCAATTTGCCAATAATGACCTAAAAACAAAAAGCAATAGACAATATAAAATTATAAAGATAATTGATGTAACAGCAATCTTCTGTCACATGATCTACCAAGTATGCTCTTCGTTCAAATATTGCCGGATACGGTACTATTAAAACTACGTTTTTTCAACCGTACCGAGTCCAGAACTTACCTAAGTATGGACTCTATTTTTCACTGACAAAATTTGACCATTCGTATTAAAAATCAATTAATATCTAGCATTATATAAACAAGAATTTATAATACCAGATACACTTGTGATTGCCTATAGTTAATTGTCTAGTATGTAAAAAGAAATTTTATTAACTATATGTGATTATAGTAGGAATCTGATCATCGACTGTGAATCTGGAAATTTTAGACGTAACATTATTTATAGTTATCGTTATAGAACTTGAAATTCCAAAATTTTCCGGATTCCTACTATAATATTATCTATTAACACTAAATTGACTACTACGCGTACTTATGCGTATTCGTCTTAAAAAAAAACTGGTTTAATTTTCTCGTCAAGATTCTAATAATTATCTTTGTACTAACCAATATAAAATATGCGACCGGGTGGTGAAGGAAGTTCTCTGAGGCCACGCGAGACATTTGGTTTTTTAAAGAAATAGTAATAAGCGAGACATACCAGCAATAAATAAAACGCAATCATTTTTTAATACAAGGTTAAATCTAGTCAAAGTTTAGTTCATTTATTTACATGATAAAATTCGTTTATAAATCTTTAAATTTTGTATACAAGAAAAAATTAAATTTTTGTAACCATAAAACGCGTTATACATTGTTGAAAAAATGTGCGCTTGTAGAATCTATATATGACGTTACATAAATTATATTAGATCGATTGCACTCGTGGAAAGTCTATTCTAGATCTATTATCGAATTTAAATATCATCGCTTTGATCACATTGAATCACAAAATTATGATGTAAGCCGTAACTGCAGTATATACATCAATTGGATTTAGTTTGTAACTGATTGGTCCGGGACGCTTAACAAATTCATAAAGTAGTAATACGGTACGGAAACGCAAAATAAGACTACGTACGGTTATAATTCAAATTAAAGCTATGCTTCCTATAACCTGTCCTTACTCTAACATGAAAAGAACAATATTCACACCCTAACCATTAAAGAAGGGTTATCTATAAAAATTGGTTTTTACAAGTCGACGTTAAAAGTATGCGCTATCAAAAATTTCGCATGCCCTTCCAATCTGTATTACCGTGCAACACTTATTGAATAACTAAATTAATGCCAAGAAGTTACATAATGTATGTATGTGCTTTTGAAATTATTTAATCCTTTTAATATTCATAATATTTACAAACACTAAAAAAATACCTGTTCAAATTTTTTATTTTAAATAATTATATATTGTAATAAAGATTTTAAATGTGCGCAAAACAAACGTCGGAATGGAATCTTGCTAGATTTAAAATCAACATAAACTTAAATTGATTCTAAATGCACCCAAATACACTGTGAGGCCCAATAAATGTGATGAAATTAAGATGCCGGGACCTCACGGGGATTAATTAGAGAAGGGGGATTTATTAAATAAATGGGTTTAAGTGAATAAATTAGAGAAATCGAATTAAAGGGTTTAATGAGATTAATGTAATTAATGAAGTCATAATTAAAAAGATATTATAAATAAAGGCCGAAATGGCCCTTTGGAGCAGTACGCTTCGTTTTGCTTTATTAAACAATAAATCCTAATACCCTACATTGTACTTAATAAACTCTAACACTATTACCGTTACAAACCCTGTGAACCCCTAATAACGTCGCTGTTCAACCCTTGACCACGTGACTTATCCTATTTGCATTCGTTGACCCAAAGTAACCGAAAGCCTTAACCGCCCACAAGCCAAATCTAACACCCTCTTTCGAAAAGGTTACTTGTCGTACGTTACACGAGGTTTTGAATTTTGGAGCGACCGAGTCGCAATAATCCGAACCCAACAACACTTAAGTTGAACTAGCTTTAAATTTACTCAATCGTTAAGAATTGCAAGTTAATCTAAAAATCCATATCGCAAAGCTAGTCATATATTCTAGCTACATTAATTATTACAACCGTGATTATTGGAATGAATGACAGTTACTCCCACAAGCCCTTTTACATTTGCAGCGATTTATATTACTATTTGTGATACTAATTATGCTATTAAAGCTTCTCGTACACTTTATAACTTTTGAAGGAATATAGAAAATTGGTTTAAACCTTAAACTTTTAGCTCATGTGACAAATATACCAGAAATTATAATCTTCTTGTGTAATAAAATAAATGTTTTACGACGTTGATTAACAGATTTGCCATCAAGAAATTTACTGTAGTAAGCATTGCAAAATAAAAAAATAAATATACTTACAACAACAAATGTTCAACAATTTTGACGTCAACTATAATCAACTATATATACTCTTGTTGATTTATATAATATTTAATATACTACGTTAATTGAAGACAAACTTCAATTTGTAAAAATACATTGACGTAGATGGCATGTAAATATTAGTATTAAAAAATTTTTAATTAAAAATAGATTAATGCTGTAATACCCTAAACATTCTTAAAATATTCTTTTGGAATTTATACAATATACTGCACCATTATTATGAACCATAACGATTAATTTATTTAATGGAATCTTTATTTTCGTGTCTGTATAATGTCATTCAATCTTGTAATATATTGAGGTAACAAATTATATTTGAAATTGTATCTGTCAAGTTTGTGGGTAATAGATACTTAAATACCAATTAAACTAACCATAACAATAATAAAATTTCATATACACGTGGTTCTGGATATTGGAGAATTATAATGGAACACAAATTATGATTTACTATAATATCTGAGATTTTGAAGATGCGGCAGAATTGTCGTAACTTACTTGCTATAGTTACGGTAAGGTACGGCAGTGTGACGACTATCATTGGGACGATTCTACCGAATCTCTACTTTTGATATGTCGGAGGTCTCCATTATATCGAGAGCATGTGTAATAGATATTATGCGAGATGTCTATGTTGAAATAAAAGGAGATCTCCACTAATAAGATGGAGTTTCTTATCATAAAGACCCGAGGAATGTTGGTATTTTCCGTTTATAACAAAGCAGTAAAAATAAGATTAAAATTTAAGAGGAAAACGAAAACAAAACTAAAATACAACATTATATTGAAAATAAGTAGCTAGTCATTTTACACTTGTTCGATGTTACATATTATTAGTAACAAATCCCATCGACATAACGTAAATGATAAATTTTTGTTAGTTGTAAATTGTCCAGTATTCTTATAAATTCAGGGATAACTAACTAGTTAACCACAGTTTATGAAATATGAAGTACGTAGTAGATAATCAAGAGTTTCAGTTCATAAACCTGTATTTATATACTCTGGTATCAAAATTTTGATATGCAGTCAAACTTTTCTATAATCACACCCTCGGGATAAATATTTGTGTGCTTATAAAAATATTTTTACTAAGGTGTGCTTATAAAGAGGTCTTTTTTCTAATTTATATACTCTGCTTTTTCTAATTTATAATTTTTTTTTTTAGCTTTTAAATATTTCAATTTAACAGTCCAAAAGGTTAGATCTGCCAAACCTTCAGTTTATAGTTATTTTAATTTTAGTATATATTTCTATAATATATATATATTTTTTTCTAACTTGTACTTTAGCAGTTTTAGTTAGTTAATCTTCTTTTTTTAAAAGTTCTTTGTACCTTATTTCTGGTCCAAGTATTTATCTTTAATTCCAGCGTTGTTTAAAATTTATACTATTTTTTATGCTAGTAAAATATAGTAAAATATAGTAAAATATAATAAAATAATTTTACCATTATTAGTAAAATTAATGTTAAATTAAAAATTAATTTCATCAGCTTTTATTCCTTATGCTATAGATTGTAATAAGCAAATTTGCCTGTTTGATATTATAAAATTGGTTTTGATTTACTTTTTTAATATTTAAAATATTTTAATATAAAATTTAATATAATAATATTTAAGAATAAAAATTATATTATAGTAATATTTAATTTTATATTATAAAAAAAATATAAGTTATTTATAAGTTAAAAATAAACAAATTTAAAAAATTTTCAATTAAAAAATTATTCATTAATTCTTAACAAAAACTCTATAAATATTAGTTTTAAATTTATAGTTCTTAATAGAATATTATAGTTTATAAAAAAGATTACAATTCTAATAATTAAGTATCATTTTTACAATATTGTTTTTAGTTAAGTTATTTACAAAAAAATTCTTACTCATCATGCTGGCCTTGTTAAACAAAAAACTAAACTTAATCATTTAATTTCTATTAATATTTTTTTTACTCTTAATTATACAATATTTGCAATATTTAGAATATTTAATTTCAACATTATATCTCTAATTATATTAAGCAACTTAACAATTTTAAGCTATTTAGAACTAGCTGTTATATTCATCTTTAGTAATTACAAAACAAGTTTTGGTCTTTTATAAATATACTTTGTTATTATAAGTTTTAATTGATATTCAAATAAACAAACAATTAGCTTTAAAATTATTTAATTTTTTATATATTGATATGGGCTCAAAGGTCGGGAACAGCACTATAGGGACAAGAAGGAATGTGACGAATTGTCGCTTCAAATTCGTCGATGTTACGTAACGTCGCTCAAGGCAGGTGAGGCAAATTCGATTTGGCACTAGTCTATGGCAGCCTTGAGAACGTTACCAGGGCAGTTTAAAGAAGCATATTTTTATTTATTTATTTACTCTATTTTGACAGTTAGCAGTTTATTAATAAAAACTTTATTTATTTTATAGGGCGTTTACAAGTTACAAGGTGATTCGGGTTTGTAGAGGTGGAAAGGTACTATATCTCTTATATCTATATCTATATGTATCGCATCTATAGGGCAGAAGACACACTTTTTATAGAACATTTTGAAAGGGGAAAAGGGGGAACTTGGGACACGGCTTTGACACCCTTTTTCTCATAGTCATAGACTATTTTTCCCTTTTTTACTAACACTTTTCCCTTTTTCTTATAATTCATCCATCATTACTTTAGCATCATCCCACAACGGCATACAATCCAACATATGATGACACATTAACATAGCCACAGACTTTTCCTGTTAAGGTAATATTACCTTGACAGTTGGATTCCAAATCAGGCAGATGGCTTTTTCTTCAATGGATCGGTGCCGTCACTTAATGAGGAGCTTGATTTGTCTTGGGTCGCGGGTATCATAGTATGACGGTTTTCGTGGTGCAGATCATGGTCGTTATGCAACATTTCCTCCAGGTCCTAGGGTTGAATCTACCCATAACAATATTTAGATTTATTTATTAATTTCAATTCTGTATATAATATTTCTTATATAGTTATTACAAATACTAGTTATCACAAATACTAGTTATTACAAATACTAGTTTTTTAGAATCTATATTATTATTATATTCTAATTATTTTAGATTTAAAAACCAATTTTGTTATCATTATATACTCTTTTTAGATCAACTTACTATATATAATAATTTATATTTTCTTAACTAAAAATATACTTCTCTTAGAGGGTGTGATGATCTAGTGAAGTGGTTAGGTTGTTAACCCCTAAGTAGCAGGTTCAGAGTTCAAATCCTAATGTCAACAGAAAATTTAAAAATTTTTTTGTATTATGATTAACTGTTTCTCACAATTGGCTGAAATAAGATACCTGTTACTTGTGTCACATTAGTATGACTGACAGATCACATGGCATTTGTGTAATAGTCATGTGACATTGTCTTTTGGAACAAGGTCTGTGGTTATACAAAAGAATGCAAACTGGTACCAGATGGTGCAAACCTACAATAAGTCCTCATAGCTATATAAATTATAGGAATCAAATGAAGGAAGACAAAAGTCTACTTGGAAGATCCAAGTAGAGAAGTAACACAAACTTTTGATAATGCTACTATAAAGACTAGACTTATGAAATAGAACTAGAACTTGTAAAACTAGGCAAATGTGCTAGTTTTGAGGAGAAACCAGATGAACCAACCAGGTTATCAAAATTTTCAGATTTCAAAGAAAAAGGATACATGCTAGCAAACATGTGAACCAAAGGTGTATAGTTATAACTTACCTTTCTGGGCTATCTGAAATAGCAGATTAGTGGAATTTAAATTAAATACCAAAGTAATAAGAATATATTGTGAAGTTAGTACTAGAGTTGGGATAAACTCTACAAGGGCATAGTGGTTTAATAGAATGCTTTAATCATCAGTGTTGGTTTTAACCATAATGATACTGAGTTAGTTATAAAAATAGAATACAGAAGATTCTAAAAGGTTTAATACAAAGTCAAAGGTTCTAAAGAACTACTTTAAAGACTTAGTAGCCATAGCATATTTTCATCAGCATTAGTCAGGGTTGTTAATAGGCAGAGGTAAATAGATAGATATGAAAACTAGAGTGGTTAAATAGGAAACCTACAAGCAGGTTCCAGGTATAACAGCTAGTATAGAACCTTTAGATGAACTACTTAAATTAAACAATAACTAAAGTTGTATAAATAGCTAGTTGTACACTCTTTTTATGATTGCCATCTGTGATTGTAATGCAACTATTAGTCAAATATACTATTAATAAAATTCTAGATCACAATTACTTACCTTAATATTTAAAAAAAAATATATACAGTATATATATATATTTCTCTTAGAATTTATAAAATTTTTAAAGTTAAAAAACTATTATAGTTTACAACTCTTAAGAATCTTTTAATAAATTATTTATATTACCAAACTCTATAATTATTATTAACTTTTAGAAATTAATTTTTTTAATTATACTATAAAACATTTTTTAAAATACTCTAAAACATAACTTATATTTATTTTTTTGATATTAAAGTGGCTTATTTAGTTTTTTAACTTTTATTACTAACTTTTTTAATAATATAATTTTATGAATTATTATAGGAGAGCATGAAATTGACTACATATATAACTTTTTTATATTACTTATTTAAGAAATTTACTCAAAAGTTCTTACTAATTGACATATTTAACACCTTTGCTTGAATGTTCTACTTTAAATTTTCTAAACCTATAATTTATATTAACTCACTAGAGCATATCCAGATGCTCAAATTATTATTTCAACTTTAGAACTATTTTATTCTCGAGATAAACTCTTCAGAGTCTTCTGTATCTATGTTTATAGCTAATTTAGTATTACTATAGTAGAACCAACATTTGCAGTTAGAGTTATATCATTTAACTACTATGTCTTTGTAAACTTTATACAAACTCTAGTATTTACTTTATAATATAATTCCAGTAGTTTAGTATATTTCTGCTTTTTACCTGCCTTTTTATCAAACTTCTAATTCAAATAGCCTATATAGAATTATAACTAGTTTATCAGTATATCAGATTAGTCTGATATTCTTTTTTTTAGTTTGTTTTGATGATCTGATTGATGGTATCTCTGAAACTTCCAACTTGAAGATTCTTGCCTGTTTAGTTATTATAACTAGGTACTATGATCTTGGTATCTATTTTTTGGTCTAGTCTTTATAGTAAAGTCATCAAAGATCTAGCTATCTCTCTACTTAGATCTTTTTAAAT